GGGAACCCCGCCTCCACTGTGGGCACAGCCATCTTGTAACGGTGTTATGGCGTGAGGGTCAATTTTCATATTACCTCTTTATTATAAAGGGTACTAGAGGCCTAGTGCATGGGTTCGTGCACTGGTGGGGTCCCTCAGCCTGGCCTGCAGGGATTGGGCCAAAACTGGCTCTTCGACATCCCCCGAGGGGTCTTGGATTGTGAGAGGGAGCAGGCCAGGCTGAGGGACCCCAGTGGTGCACGATCGGGGCCAGGGAGGGACTGCAGGAGGGCTCCAGGGCATGCCCAGCTCATCTCGCCCAGTCCCAATCGGCTGGACTCCAGCAGCAAGCTAATCTACCAGTCAGAGCATCTGTCCTCTGGTGGTCAGTGTGCGTCATAGCGACTGGTCAAATGGTCGAATGAATGTTCAGACACTTAGCATATTAGGCTTTTATTATACGGTAGGTCCTTGGATTATGTTGGAGATTCCTATGGCACGACTAAACATGATTTCCACTGTAAGTCAGAATCCACCTACGTAAGCACCTACATCACTCACATGGAGCACAAACACAGCAGTAATTAAGTAAAACAGTAAAAAAAAGTTAAAAGAAAGGTAACAATTTCTGACCTTTACTTGTGGTAAATAAATAATAAAAAACATAAAGCACATATGTACATACATCAAAATGACGGAACTTTTTTTTTAAATAAATAAATGGGAGATGGCGACGTAACCACGAAACAACGTATGTCGAGTCCGACATAACCCGAGGACTGTCTGTATAGGATATTATGTAACTGTTACTGAGGGCATTCACTTCATAATAGGTAGGTCTTCTTTCTTCATCATGTCTTTTTCTTCCAAAATATTGGATTTTATTAATTTTAAAATTTTGTTCTACTGAGCCCAACCACAGTATCTCAGTGGTGGAGCATCAACCTATGAACCAGGAGTCCACGGTTTGATTCCCGGTCAGGGCACATGGTTGTGGGCTCAGTCCCCTGCGGAGGGAATGCAAGAGGCAGCCCATCAATGATTCTCTCTCATCATTGATGTTTCTATCTTTCTTTCCCTCTCCCTCTCCCTTCCTCTCTGAAATCAATAAATATATATTTTAAAAAACTTGTTCTACTGAGATTTAATTTACCTAGCTGACATGCACAGTTCAGACAATTGTATATACCCAGGTAACCAACACTCTGATCAGCGTATAGAACATTTCCACCACCTCAGAAAAATGTCTACGTCCCTTCGCAGTCACGCAGTCACTCTCACCCTCGATCTTGATTTCTATCACCGTAGGTTAGTTATCCCTTGCTAGCACTTATAACTGCAGTTATTCAGTATATAATTTTTTGTGTCTGGCTTTCACACTCAGCATATTTTTTGAGAATGATAATGCTGTGTGTGTGTGGGGGGGGGGGGAGTACAACGTACTCCTTTTTTTTTTTTTTTATTGCTGAGCAGTAAGTAGTCTATCTTACAAATACACCGCAGTTTCATCCCCACCCCCTTTTGTTGAAGGAAACCTGGACTGTTTCCAGTCTGGACATTAAACAAAAAGTTGGTTCCAATCCTGGCACCATTTTGTCCAAATAAAAAAAAGTTTTGGGATTTGGATTTTGTTACTTTTCAGTCTGCCTTCCACTAATATTTAGATTTTTTTCAGAGGCCTCCCTCCCTTGCTCTTTTCTCCAGGAAAATCATAGTATATACATACAACTGCAAAGGAATTCAAGTGGGTAATATTGAAGATGGACATGTTTATATATTCATATTCATCACACAAGCATAAAGGCTAAATATAGAAAACAAGTTAATATCTTGGCCAGTCTCACAATCTAATTTTGGAAAGGGCAGGTAAAGCTGCAAGGGGTAAAAAAAAAAAAAAAAAAAAGTGGTGTGCGTGGGTGGAGGGCAGCAATAGTGTCAATCTATAGAGTTTAAGGCATTATCAGGGCCCCAATGATAATTATAATTACAGCTTGTTCTTACTGACCTTTAACAAATGCTAGACATTGTGCTAATGATTTCATTTAATCCTTATGCTTGATGTGATACATTTATTACCCCAACTTGAGGTAGAGCATATGGACATTCAGAGGGTACATAAAAAAGTGCATAAACATTATATATAGAGAACATTCAAAGGAGCATAAATCATAGGGCCTTAAAGGGATTGGAGAGGTTAGTTTTTAAATAGCTAGTGGTGCAACTAAATAGTATAAATAGCATTTTTACTTTCTCTTTTCACTAGCATTTTGCAAACTCTTCTTAAGCCATAAGCCCTCTCTGTTCATGCTCACTGGGTATAGTGTGTGACATTTACCTCCCAGGGAACTATAAACCAGCTGGACAATTGTAGTTTTACAAATGGAGTAATTTAACACCACTCCTCACGACAAAATAATAAGTACTTTGATATTGTGGATATACTGTTACCAACAATTCTGGCCAAAATCCATGTACAGCAAGAAAGAATTTCAGTGGAAAAGTGAGTGGTTTAAAAGTCATCTTTGGGAATTCAATAAAAAATTAATTTTTTTCCTAATGCTTTCTTTTCTTCCTTCCCCTCTCTATCCACCCCAAAGATTGTTTAGTATTCTCTTCCTTTACTGCTACTGATTATTATATTACTGCCCTATTTAAAATAGAAATGATGGCCCTGTTGGTGTTGCACAGTGATTAGAGTGCCAGCCTGCACACTGAAGGGTCTCGGGTTCGATTCATGGTCAAGATCAGGTACCTGTGTTGCAGATTCGATCTTTGGCCTGTTGAACACGTTTGGGAGATTAACCCATTGATGTGTCTCTCTAACATCAATATTTCTCCTCCCTCCCTTCCCTCCCTCACTCCCTACCTTCCTCCCTCCCTCCCAACCTTCCTCCCCGCTCCCAATCTTCCTCCTTTCCTCCCTCCCTTCCACTCTCTCTAGAAATCAATGGAAAAAATATTGTGTGAGGATTAACAATAAATAAATAAATAGGAAGAATGGAGAAGAAAGTATTCTTTTTTCTGATAAGAAAGCCCTGAATACAATTTGGAGAAATCCATCCTTAAGGAGCACTGTATGAGCCAGTGGCTTCACGTTTAAAATAGCATTGTGCACAATGTAGCTTTCGGTATTAGTTAGCTAGGGCTGCCGTGACAAAGTACACAGACGTGGTGGCTTCAACAGAAATGAATGTCTTCACTGTCTAGAGACTGGAAGTCTAAGAGCAAGGGGCTGGCAGGGTTGGTCTCTTCTGAGGCCTCTTCTTGGCTGGCAGATGGCCTTCCTTTTGTGAACATGTGCCCTAATCTCTTGCTATAAGAACAACAGTTATATTGAATTAAGGTCCACTCCTGCGACCTCATTTTACCTTAATTAGCTCTCTATGGACCCTGTCTCCAAACACAGTCACATTCTGAGGTACTGGGGGTTTAGGACTTCCACATATAAATTTTGGGGGCACATAATTCAGCCTATAACACTTCCTAACTGCATGACAGATCTAACGGAAAAAAAAAGAGAGAGATTATTTAAGAAAATGCTATCAATGCAATTATAACAAGAGGGTGTCTGTTAGGGATGAAAATTAGTCACATCTTCGACTATTTTAAAATCATTTGTGAATGTAAGTTGCTTGTAAGGAAAGATGTTATTGGCTACTATTTAAGAGAGCAAGGCCATGAAGAGAATCAGATGACATGTTGAAGTTCTTATCTGCAAACAAGTACCATAGTTTAAATGTTAAAAATTCTCCAAATTCAAAAAAATGAGAAAAGTAATCTAAAATTAATGGTTAATTACAGAAGATATGAGGTGTTTTTTTTATTAAGCTTCAAATGACTTATGAAGAACATGGCAAAAATAGTATTAGAACAGAGTAGACTCGAAAGTTAGCATAGCTTCCTGGCTTATAGAAAACAGAAAGGGTCACAGAACAAATAAAGGAGGCTCACTATGCTTTGGTCGCACTTTTGTAAGTACAGCATGGTGTTCAGCCTTTCAGTGTGTGCAGGATACAAAATAATCAGAAATAAGGAAACAGGTTTGTTCATGATGATCAATTAAGATGATTCATATGAAACTGACCTTTCAATAGATAAAATAAAATAAAACCAGAGGATTTAGCCCGTAGAAGAGGTAAAAGGAAAGTACCTAGAAGCCATTATGATGAAAGATTAGAAGATAGACTTTTGTCTTAAAATTATTACACAATTCTCATATAATGTCTTAACCTCACATCAATAATAATGTCGTCACCCTTCCTTACCCTATTAATTTTCTCTTTATATCATCAGCTTCTTAAAGCAAGTTCCTAAAATAGGTCGTGTGCTTTACCCAGGCCACGGGCTAAAACGAACTCTGAGCGTTCACTCTCCGCAAAAAGAGGCTGCCCCGACCCTGGCAAGTTCTAAGAACTTGACTCCATGACCCCCCCCCCACCACCACCACCACCACCACCCACACCCCCCCACTACCTATCTTTCGCGTAGCTTGGCCACCTACACCTACAAATTTAACACATTGCGTTTGCGTCATCGTCCTCCTCCGGTCTCTGGGAAGAGGAAAGGGTCCTTTTGGACTGCACATCCCGATCTGGATAAAGAGTAGCCTAGTCTTCTGGCTCCCGGGCCTGGGGCGGAAACTCCCCCTCCCAGCTCAGGGTGGAGCTGCGGGTGGAGGCCGAGTCACCTCAGGGGCCTAGGGTCCCCGCCAGATGTATACACTCCATATACAAACGAGTGACCTAAGGAGGCCCAGCAGCCAATCAGAGCGCAAGAACGCGCAGCCAGCATCTTTGTTTTCCGGAGCTGCCACAGCCACGCCGGGCCCAAAGGAGGGGCGCTACAGCCATTAGAGACCAAACTTGCAGACTGCGCGCCCCCCCTCGTCCGCAGACCTCTCCTGCAGGGAGGCGGCGCGTCCCCTTTTAGGAGGTGGGAGAGAGCCAGAGGCCGGCCAATCCCGGCGCCCTCCGCCGCTCCGCCCTCCCCGGTTCTGGTTAAGGCCTCGGTTCCCGGCGGGCAGCGGCGAGGAGCGCGCTCTCCTTGGGGCTGCGGGGAGAACGCCAAGGCCGCCCTGCACGGGCCATGGCCGCCGCCGCGCCGCCACCGCCCCCCGAGGGCTCGCCCTGGCCCCTGAGTCTCCTGCCCGCGCCCCTGGGGCTGCTGAGGCTGGACCCCACCGGCGGCGCGCTGCTGCTGCTCGGCCTGGCCGCGCTGCTCGGGTGGAGCTGGGTGAGGCGGTGCCGGCCACAGGGCATCCCTCCCGGGCCCACGCCCTGGCCGGTGGTGGGCAACTTCGGCTTCGTGCTGCTGCCGCCCTTCCTCCGCGGGAGGAGCTGGACCAAGTTCGGGAAGAATATCCCAGACTTAGACCCCTCCACGCCGGCCTCGCAGGTGCTGCTGACCAATCTGGCCCGAGTCTATGGCAACATCTATAGCTTCTTCGTGGGCCCCTACATGGTGGTCGTCCTCAATGACTTCCACAGCGTGCGCGAGGCGCTGGTGCAGCAGGCCGAGGCCTTCAGCGACCGTCCACATATGCCGCTGGTCTCCCAAGTGACCAAGGAGAAGGGTGAGCTGGGCCCGGGAGCCTCAGGTGTCCGGGGACTTGTGGCGGACCTGTGCCCCCGCCAGCCGCACGCACCCCGCCGGGCATTCCTGCATCCCAGTCGGGGGCGGGGTAGGGGGGGGGGCGAGGTAGGAGGGCGGCAGTGCCTCCCTTTTCCGTAGCCTTTAAGATGCCATTCAACTGTAGCTGATGGATTACTCGTTCATATTTCAAGATCAGGAGGAAGGGTAATGGGAGGGACAGGGGTGACAACAAAGTGTGAAGCCTGGCTGCATCTCTCCAGGGGAATTCTCTCCTTCCCAGAACCAAGCCTCACTCTTCAGGCCCTGTCCCGGGGGAAAAAACTTGGATCCTTTTCACCTTCTGAGTTTTTGCGTGCAAGAGTTTAAGAATAGAAAGTCCAGAAAAACCCTTTAGGAGCCTATTGGCAAACTTAATACACTGAATTTGTAGCCACTGTGATTCCTGCCTATTGGAGTCTAACTTGGGCAATTTTTCCAGGTTAGGAAACGAAACACATTGTTTCAATAAAATATCACATTTACTTTTCCTCTAACTCCACCCATCCACCTATTTATTTATTTATTTCCCTGTTTATTTATTGCCCTTCATCAGTCTTCCCCTCCCTTTGTCCTATTGGCTAACATAGTTCCCAGACTTTTTTTTTTCTCTGAGTCACTCCTTTGTAGATATTAAATGTTTCCTCAGGGAGGCTTTTTTTCCTCACTGCTTCTCCAAAAATTAAGCTTCCTTTTTAGAACAATTTCATTGTACAAGTATTTTTCCTTTACTGCACTTACCAAAACTGAGGCTCCATAATTTTGTGACTTGGGGCCAGGATGTGAGTCTCACCACTAGACTGACATCCAGGAGGACAGGGTAAGTCCTATGTGCCTGGCACACAGTAAATGTTCAGTAAGTATTTATTAAGGAAGTGAACTGCTACTTACTGTCTCTGGAATTTGGCATAAAGAGACCTAGGTATTTTAGAATCTGAGGAAGCCAGACTTTTGCATCAGGATTCTAAATGAATAGTAGTAATCCTATATAACAAAAGGCTAATATGCAAATAGACCAAACAGCTGAATGACCGGTCAGTATGACATGCACTGACCACCAGGGGGCAGATACTCAGCACAGAGCTGGGCTCACGGCCGGCGAGCACAGTGGCAGTGGTGGGAGCCTCTTCTGCCTCCATGGCAGTGCTAAGGATGTCCAGGAGCAGGCCTAAGCCATCAGTCGGACATCCCCCGAGGGCTCCCGGACTGCGAGAGGGCACAGGCTGGGCTGAGGGACCCCTTCTCCGCCCCCCGTGCATTAATTTCGTGCACCAAGCCTCTAGTGGTGATCGTAATATTCTAAATGTCTCATTGAAAAACTGAAGTCACAGTTCAAACCTCACCCTCTCCATGCCTTCACACAGGCTATTGCTTCTACCTGGAATTCTCTTCCAATCTCATGGCTGCCTGCTTTTAGTTTTTTTAGATTGTGATGAAATACACATTATATAAAATTTGCCAACTCAATAATTTTAAATCTTACAGTTCATTGGCATTAGGTTATTCACATTGTTGTGAAAACCATCACCATCATCTCCAAAACTCTCTTTGGCTTGCCAAACTGAAGTCTTATGAGCATTAAACAAATATTAACCCCAGTTCTCTTTTTCCAGTCCCTGGCAACCACTTTTTTTTGGGGGGGGTCTCTATGAATTTAGTAATCATACAGTATTTGTCCTTTTGTGACTGAAATATTTGACTTAGCATAATGCTTCAAGGTTCATCCATGTTGTAGCATGTGTGAGAACTGCCTTCCTTTTTAAGACTAACTAATATTCCATTGTATGTATGTATTACATTCTGTTTACCCATTCGTTCCCTGACAGTTGGGTGCTTCCTCCTTTTGGCTCCTGTGAAAAAAATGCTGCTATGAACATGGTACATATACAAATATCTGTTAAGAAAAAACCCAAACAAAACTGATAAAAGATGTTGGCCAAGGTTAATTTTTCTTTAATACAGTTCCAATAAATCAAAGCATAATAGCCCAACAACCCAATATGAATAGTTAAAAAGATGATAAATATTCACATAAAGTTAAAAGATGATGATATAACCTTGGTTAGTGCAAATAAAATCCATAATTGAGATTTCGTTTTCTAGCAGTCAGATTTTCAAATATATTTGATACCAGTTATTAAAGGAATGGGGAAACAGGCACTTATATGTCCAGAGTAATATAATCTTGAAAGAGGGCAATCTAGTTTTTATTTTTATTATTTTTCCTCCAGAGAAACAAACTAATTATATAATGAATTAGTCTGCACACACACACACACACACACACACACACAGATTTATTTCATGTAATCAGCTTACATGCTTGGTGTTGATGTAAGAAGGTTTAAACCTGTAGAAAATTATTATGAAAGTTTATTAGCGTTTATTGGCAACAACTGACGACATGCCAGGAAGTAACATTTCAAAATGCTATTAAGAGGGCAATCTAATTTTGTTTATTTTTGTTTTTTTAATATATTTTTATTGATTTCAGAGAGGAAGGGAGAGGGAGAGAGATAGAAACAACAATGATGAGAGAGAATCATAGATCAGTTCCCTCCTGCACACCCCCTACTAGGGATCGAACCAAGATCTCCTGGTTCAACCACGGAGCCACACCGGTCAGGTGGCAATCTAGTTTATAAACTTAAAAATGCACATACGCTAAGTAATTTCAATGCAATCAAAAGAATATTTCGTGACCTAAAAATTATATAAAATTCCAATTTTAATGTTTATTGGAATACAATCATGTTCACTTACCAACCATTTGTCTGTGACTGCTTTTGCATTATAATTGCAGAGTATTTCTCTCAGAGACTATATGGCCCATAAACCTAAAATATCAGTTAGTCTTCTTCAGGAATTTCGCCTGACCCCTGCTCTAGAACAGTACTGTATAGTAAAAATTTCTGCAATGATAGAAATGTTATCTATGCTGTCCACTAGCTAAATGTAGATAGTAAGATTGAGAAAGTGAATGCAGCTTATGGCTATTAGCAGACAGGGTAGCTCTAGAAAACAAGAGGCTAATTTTAAACTAAACATATACTCTTACATGTATGGAGTAATATGTCCATGAATTTTTTTGTACCCTGCCTTTGTCACTCTTTAGCTGTGTGAACTTAGACAAGTAGAAAATAGGCAAATACCAAAATTTCATTGAAAGAACATCGAATGAATTTTGTACCATCCATGTAATGGCCTTACTGGAAGATATCCAAGAAAGTAAGTAAAATAAGAACAATGGATAATCTTTTTTTTTTAAAATAACACATTTTTCAGTGTGCCACTGTGTAACTAGTGGCCTTAAAACTTAGTTCAAACAAGTCCTAAAGTGCTGTGGGTGGCTGGGCTCAGCTTGTGCTTTCGTTCCACAGCCATCTGGGGCTTCCCTCTGCGGGGCCGTTGGCGCTGGTGTCACCCAGGAGCTCAGCTGGGGCTGTTGTGAAGCACCTTGGTTCTTTTAATGTGGCCTTTTCATATGGGTTGGGATTCTCGCAGCTGGGTTTCAAGTGGATGAAAACAGATATTAAAAGTCACTTCTGTAGTCTATAGGTTAAAAGCTCTTCCGGATGCAGGTAGAGGGGAGAGAGATTCCACTGCCCATGAGAAGAGTGGACAGGAGATAAGAGTTTGTGGCCATCTTTAATTCCCAAGCACCTGTCATTGCTGATTATATATTTATAGAAAATCCTTACTGTACACAAGAAATGGTTGATAGTGTTTGCCTTTATATAAGGGAATAGAGTTTGGGGGGAACTTGCCTCTTTGCTTGAGTTCTTTGAATTTTACTATGTATTACCTATTGAAAAACTCCCCTTTTAAGCCTTCTTTCACCAGTGGCACTGCAAAAACCACCACTGGTTAACAGTTTTTCATTTTTAAATAGCTTAAAGTATAGAAATGAGCTGGTGCAGGATGTCAAATCTGTTAAAAAAAAACAACACCACAAATCTAGATGGTGGACTGCCTAGAGCAGTGATGGCGAACCTTTTGAGCTCGGCGTGTCAGCATTTTGAAAAACGCTAACTTAACTCTGGTGCCGTGTCACATATAGAAATTTTTTGATATTTGCAACCATAGTAAAACAAAGATTTATATTTTTGATATTTATTTTATATATTTAAATGCCATTTAACAAAGAAAAATCAACCAAAAAAATGAGTTCACGTGTCACCTCTGACACGCATGTCATAGGTTCGCCATCACTGGCCTAGAGATTCTGAGACCGCAGTAAAATGCTCAAAATCTCTGGGTTTGGATTTAGAAGTGGGTTCAAATCCTGCCTTTGTCACTCTTTAGCTGCATGAACTTAGGCAAGCTTCTTAAATTTTTATGTAAACCAGGAATAATGGTATTTCACCCTCAAAATTGTAATTATAATGCATTATCAGCCACTTTCTGATTGTGTGGTGTCAAAATATATGCCCTCAATCATTATGTCTCCTCTGCTCAAAACTGCAAAAGGTCTTTATTATCAGCTCAAATCCAGACTATCTTGGTGATTAGTCTTATAGCTGTACCAAACTTGTCACAGATCTTAGAGTCTCAGCAGACATTCTTGTTTCGTAGCCTCATTCTTTACCATCCCTGGAGCATACCACACCCACTCCCAAGTAACCTAATGTGAATAGAGTGCTTGGTGCATCTGCACGCACAGCCAGGCCCACCGTGCCGCCAAACCCCTTGTCCAGTCTCCTTCATCAGACCAGGATCCTTGGCCTAGTGATTTCTTTTAACCGTCTTTGTTTCCCCACCCTTGGACAGTATCTTTCATGAAATGGGCATTTGATGACTGAAATTGTGTTTCCAATGTGTCTTTTTGCTGATGAGCCACTAAGCAGACCCTCAATAAATAATTACTCAGTTGAAAAAATATATATTTGTTCAAGTCACTGCTTTTAATTCTTTAGGTATATACCCAAAAGTGGAATTGCCTGA